GTGCAAAATCATAAACAGAGGGACAAGAAATGCAGACCATACCTACAAAATAGGGAAATGTGTCCTGTAAAGCACTGAATCTGGAAAGGTTCAGGGGTCATAGCAAAAAATGAATCCAACATGAGCTCCCACTGCAAAACTGTCAGGAAAAGGGCAATTCCGTCTCTGGATGTACAAGTTGAAGAGTAGCAAGGAGTCGGGAAATAGAGAGGCAACCATCTTTTATGTATAGCATTAGCATGACCAACACTGAATACAGTTCTGTTCTGACATAAGGAGAATGGCTAAAAATTGGAGAGGACACAGAAAATGTGGAAAAATTGTTCTAGAGCTGAAGAAAGTGTTTGACAGAAAGACAGTGTGATCTTTGTAGCTTATCAGATCAATAATTTTATGGTGACTACTAGATCACAGTGGATACAGACCTTCCTAGGAAAAAATACCCAGTAGCAAAAGGCTCTTTAGTGGAAAAAGAAATCCCAGGAAGTGATGGCTGGAAGCTGGAGAAGTCAGACTGATTCAAATGAGAAATAAAAGCATACATTTTTATTAATGAGGGTGATCAACTATTGGAACCATACTACCAAGGAAAGAAGTGTACACTGAAGTCCTCAGATCATCATTAGCCACCTTTCTGGAAGGTATGCACTAGCAACATATGTGTTTGTGTTTTATTCAAACACAATTTACAGGGCACAATCTAGACATAATAATGACATTCAAGTGCCTTTGATTAATAGATTCATAGGTATTAGGACTGGAAGGGACCTCAGAAGATCATCGAGTCCAGCCCCCTGCCCAAAGTCAGCTGATAGGTCATAGGATCCCAGCAAGATAAGCATCCATTTTTTTCTTGAAGGTGTTCAATGTAGGTGCTTGAACCACCTCCAATGGCAGGCTATTCCAGACCTTGGGGGCCTGGACACATACACACAGGAGGTCAATCCAGAAGATCAACCCGTCCCTTTCAACCTTAAACGTTATGAATCTCTGAACTTTGCAGTCTGGTTCTGTTCCTCTCTGTAGTTGTGCTCACTCTCCATTTTTGGTGTTGTCTGAGTATTTCTCAGTGGTGAAATTTATGCCAAAAAATCATCCAACTCAGGAGGCAAGAAAGTACAGAGACCCTTGAATTTCTCATGGCCAGAACAGAACAAAAAAGCCTTTCAAACCCTAGAAGATTCTTGAATTGGACTGTAGGTACCCAAAACCTTCACTGATACTAACAACAGATTTAAATCTGAAGCATGTTTCACTTCAGGAGCCAAATTAACTCTGAAGACCACCATTCAAGAATGACTGGCCTAGAATGTATCAATGAACATACCTGCAGTCCTGGACATCTGTTTGCAACTAAATCATCTTACCAAGACCATCAACCGGAACATGTTGGGGTAAGTATGCTGCTTTAAGCCTTTAGTACTTAGGACTATGTATTAATTATGGGTAATACTCCAAGTTTGGAGAATATTTTTAAATGGATATTTTGCAATATTTCAGGAGGTGACAGCTACACAATGAATAGCAGCTTCTCTCCTTGTTCCTGCTTTCAAGCTACCGTGAGAGAAGGATGCAAAGATATTCAAGAAAGAACCTGTACATCACTGAGAAGGACCATTGGGATGATGGTAACTTGGTTGGGATCCCATTACAGGACAGCTAATGAGCTACAAATTACTTCTTGAAAACCTGGCAGAAATCTGAGATTGTGACTTAATACAAGCTCTAAAAGGGAGATTGTGACTTAATACAAGCTCTAATACAGCCCTGATGGAATTCACGTCCCCCAGAGGAAAGTGGACACACAGAGGAAGCAGTGACTAACAAGGAAGCATCAATCACTAGTAGGAACAGAAAACTAAAAGAGCATCTGGTCCCAAACAGTTTCCTTTAAGTGACATGTGTGATGTGTGAATATGTGCGTCTCGTTCCCCTATATAAAAATACACCTCAGAATAAACATGTATAGTTATTATTTATGGACTATGCACACTTCTTATGGCATGATGTTAATGTTGCCCTTCAAGAAGTTACTTTAGAGTCCTCTTATCTAGACAGATGCTATTGGAAATGGACACATTACCAAAAGATTGCCCTGACCAAAGGCACACAGGGATTCAGTGTCCCGTGTTAAAGTCCAACAAAGAATGTTCTCAAATTGTCATTTTCCCCATGCTGGATGTCTTTAAATAAACTTATTTGAAAACTTCTGGTTATGTGTGTGGCATTTGTGAAGCCAATCTGTATCTTATCAAAGCATTATTTAACATTTTTAGTTGGATTTGGTAGCACAATAAAACCACTTCAAATGCCCCAAATTCACAAACAAATGGAAATTAGACTTTTCTACACTTCTTACCAACCAATCATTCTTCTTTCCTCCTCATGTTTGAATTGAATCATAAGTAATTTTGCAACTTGCTCAAGTAGAATAGGGATAACTTTTAAATGACTTTTGTCCTGTTGCCCATGTAATACTTTGACATTCTTCATCTTCCTTTTACCCAGTCACTAAAAGTTTCCCTTACATTTGAGTTTCCCAAGTTAAAAGCTGATGCAATGAGCCTCCAAAGGAAACCATTAGCAAAGCATACGTTTTATTGGTCCTATAACCATAATATATATTCCTGGAGTGTTGCCCACTCGTACCCCTTATCTATTAACTATTCCCATGTACATAAGGTCATGGAAACATGTAGTAATCCCCAGGTTTCCTCATGTAACAATCCCCATAGTAGTCTTGCAGTAGTCAGAATTAATGCCAGTCTAGTTCCTCTTCTGTATGCTGGATAGAATTTCTCACCTATCATCTTGATTAAAGAAAAGAGAAAGGTATTTGATGACTTTCTGCATCAGAATTTTAATATGAATTGATTCTTCTTTGGCACTTGTGATACTAGCTAATGTAGCGTACATTGTATGCTCCGTGTATGATACATGCATATATCACACATCAATTCAGAACTGGCTTCTGTGGTGATGGACAAGATGACATAAAAAACAAGTTTCTTCTGAGTTTAACTTCTGTGGACCTAATCTTGAGATATTTTGCTCAGTTTTTAACTCTGTTCTTGCTCAGGTGAACTTCTTTTGGCTCCAAAAGAGGCAGTTTATAATTCTATAAACATTGTTTTGTGAGTCAACTAAAGAATGCCAAAACCACAGCATCATCCTGAGTATTGGAAGAAATTGCAGCAAGGGTAGGCATTTAAAAAAAAGATTCCTATTATGTGTCCCAACATTTAATAAACCAAATATGCCTTTACAGTCAAATATAAATGAGTTCAGTTGGAACAAGATGCCAAAAATTAAGAAAAATAGAGCAAACCCAAAAGTGATTGAAAATAGCACAGAGGGTCCTTTGTAGCAAGCTACATCCACAACTACTTCATCCCTGAGCATAGTCCCCATCCCAGTTTCAGCTATGATTGCTTCCAAATGACAAATCTTTTTAAACTCTACATTACAAAATAATCAGGACCTTAATGGCGCAGTAACCAGTGTTCCCGAAGTGCCATATGTCATTTCCAATATGGCTTTTTATACAAGGGAAAACATCTGAAGAGTGTGTATATCATTTCAGCACCTTTCAACAGATGGGGCATAGGGGTTATGCATGATGAATTTTGCTCTACTTAATAAAAGAAGTGCACATTGTCTGGTTGCCTTCCATAAAATGGAGAGCTTCCTTTCCCCTATTAAAATGTGTAATCACATTAATTGACTAAAAGTATTGCGATAATTGAAATTCTTCTGACTGACTAATCATTTAATCATCCCAAGAAGACACTAGGGGAAGAAAACCTTCTTCCTACAAGTTAAGTACATCTGCAACCATTTGGTATTTTGGCTTATGTTTGGTATCAGAGGTTTGCTTTGAATAGACACCACACACTACATCTCATCTAAAACCTCATGTGGGATTTGTTGTTTGCGTATGCAGGCATTTCAGGATTTTTATATAGCTATTTTAAGGCACAGAATATTTGCTTCAGGCACTGGAAACAGAAAAATATCAGAGCCAAATGAAATCTTACACTTTTGAGCAAAACATTATAGTGCTGAGTGAAGGAATCAGTGCACTCTGAGTTAGTAAATCTTGCTTCTTGCAATTAAAACATGGAGCAGTAGAGAGATCATGAGAGAAGAAGCCTTTCCAGTCTAGGCCAAGAATTCCAGTCCAGTCCTGCTTGGTTATGAAGGAAAGAAGTCAGTCTCTTAACAGTTTCCCCCCACTCCCCCCAGAAGTATCAGACAGCTAAAGAAATTATACACTTTGGATCTTCAGTTTAATCAGACACCAATTTAAATGGCTCTCTCCATTTAAATTAAGTATGCTGGGCACAAACATATCATTCAGTGTATTATAGCTCAGCTTTTTTTACATATAAATAAGCCTTTATAATTCTTCTCAACCTGGTGATTAAATTAGTTGGCCAGCAGGTAAAATATCACTTAATTTTCATTATCACTTCATTATCCCCAGTCACCACAGTAAAGGTGGAGGGGGGAGAACAGATTTCATACCTTGGGCTGGTAAATGTCCATGTTAGTTTTACAAGGCTGAATGAAACTTTTTTTTATTTATTTGCTGCTGAAAAAAATGTTGAGGGTTAGGTCTGGTTTGTTGTCTCCGGTGTATATGAAATGCATTGCTACAGTTGCTTAGGCTGCAAGTGGATCCAAATGAGGGGCTGATAGAAAACGTGCTGTTGAAACAAAATGTCTCGGCGTTCTTGAACTGAAGTGTGTTGGTTCAACGTACTCTTAATTCACTTGGGTGGCCATTGTGCCTCTAGAGTGTTGTAGTCCATGTGCTTCCCCTGCCACCATTTTCCTCCCTGGGGTGGGTGCCTTGTCTGGACTACATCTCTAGTTAAAAGCTACCATCATGAGCGAAGTAAATTGTGGAGAATTCTCTGGTGGTCTGGTTCCTTGATTTAAAATGAAATCAAAGATGGCAAGTGGCTAATGTGGCTTTTCTCTCTCTTTTCCAGAATTCACAAAACCACCACTAGCACCAAAACCAAAGATTATCGGTCATCTGTCTCCAGTAGCTGTCCCCAAATTTTCTCCTTCGCTGACAAGATCTGATGTTCTTCATAATCCAAACTCTATGTCTAGGGGTCCAAAACCACCCATTGCTCCCAAGCCAAAACTCTCAGCCGACACTGAGGGGAGAGCTAGTGTCTACACCAACAATAACTTAAATAAGTGCACAAATGGAAAGCTGATATGTTCTGATGGAGAGTTGTATGAAGGAAATCAGCACAGTACCGAGTGCCTGGACTCAGAGGCTGATGATGAATACATTGTGGTTCCTGAAGATCAGCTGACAGGGAAAGACTGTGATGATCTGGATCCCGAGCATGACCACAGCTTCAAGCCGTCTGCAGAGAATGAGACATTAGAAACTCCGGAAATGGCAGAGGAAGAAGATAACAGCACTACTAATGATGAGGAGATCTGTGACCCAGAAATAACTGAAGCACAGGGCAACGACTGTTCAGATAGGGATGAACCAGTAGAACCAGAGTCAGATGAATTAACAGACACTGGAGACTGTAATGAGCCCGAAGCAATTTGTCAAATGTCTTCAGCCACACCTGATGTAGAAGAGGATGCTTCTAAGGATATGGAAGAAGAAGAAGAAGTAGACAGCATAAACAATCCCAATGAAACCAAAACATATTTGGCAGGTGAGGATGAAGATGCTTTTAATAACCAGGATGTAGTGAAGGACAATAATGAGTATAATCTTGAAAGTGATAAGATTTTAAATAGAGATGAGGACTTGGAGGGCAGTATCTGCCAAGATATTATTTTAACACCTGTAGATATAGATGAGTCAATTCCAAGTTGTGAACCACTAGGAGAAGAGCAGGAGGCTGAGCTGTCCCAAACTTTAGAAGAAGAAGTATCAAATCCTGATACAGAAGTCAGTCCAGCCAACAACGATGAGCTGGATGATAATGCAGAATTGGTCTTGGCTACAGAAGAGGACTTAGTAGATGATGGCTGTGCAAGTCCTGATACACTTCCTGATGAGGTTGATGGAGAAACAGATGTTGGATTAGAAATAACTGAAGATGAACCTGATGTGGAAGAGGATTTGGAAGGAGCCCACAAAGAAGCTGCAGTGGAAGGAGAGGAAGTAGTTCCAGATAATGACAATGAAACAACTGTGGAAAAGGAAGAAAACATAGATGATGGTTACCAAACTACTGAGATGAAAAGTGAGGAAGAAACATCAGAGCCAGCATGTGAAGCAAGTGAAGACTCTGAGAAAGGGGAAGAAGAAATGCTGAAGGTAGAAAATGGTGATGATAGTTGTCAAATTATTCCTTTTGAGAATGACTGCAATGAGGAGGATATTGAAACTCCCCGAGAAAACTCAGATGAGACTCCTGAAAAGGAAGAGACTTTTTTGAATGATGGTAACCAACTCTCCTGTTCTCAAACACTTCCTGAGTCAGGATATGAGCCAGAGCTAGAAACAGAGTCTACACCAGAAGTACTTGTGGAAGAGTGTGGTGACAATACTATTGGAGTCTGTGAATCAGATGATCAGCTGCTTGAAAGCAGCAAGGAGAATCACGACAGCCTTGAAGAAAATGACTCAAATCTGCCTGAACAAGTACCAGCTGAGAAGGACTTAGATGAATGTGATCAAAGCAAAGCTGAAGCAGATAGTGAGAGTGAGCATGAGCCTGGTGAGAGTTTACTCATTCCTGAAGTAGTTGTTGTGCCTGAGGAATCAGAAGAGAGAGAAACAATTTATGATTCTTTAGATGACCCTTATGTGTTGCCAGCAGAAACAGAAAACCCACGTGATGGAGAAGCAGTGTTAGGAGCAGATATTCCATATGATCACAGCAAGAGAGAAGAACTAGACCCCGAAAACAGCTTGCTCTCAATTGATCGGAAGAATATTGTCACTAGAACAAGATCCCTCTCTGGGAAAATGCCTGGCTATGTGCCAGAAACTGTTCCAGAAGAATCTGGGCCAGATACTGACTTGCCATCTTCAAACAATGACTCAGTGACTAAAGATTTAAGTAATAACTTACTAACGGTGGAAGGAAAACAAATAGAAGCCAACAGGGCACTGCCAGCTAAGTCAAGGCGCTTTATTTTATACCCTCGGTCTTACTCAGTAGAAGGTAGAGATATGCCAGGGTCTGTTTACAGAGAAACCGATGGCTCTGCGTTGGATGATAGTAGAATAAAGAGGACAGAAGATAACCTGTCTTTGCCTTGTGTAATTAGTTCCTCAGGTAGCTTTTCCCAGAGAAATCACCTCTTGTCATCAAGTGGTGTATCTACCCCATCCTCAGTTGTTGATATACCACCTCCTTTTGAACTAGCTTGTATCACGAAGAAGCCAATCACTAAAAGTTCCCCCTCACTATTAATAGAAAATGAATCTCCTGATAAGTACTCCAAGAAAAAGAAATCATCTTTTAAGAGGTTCCTCACCCTCAAATTCAAGAAGAAAACAGAAAATAAGGTCCACGTTGATGTTAATGTTTCCTCTTCAAGGTCTTCCTCAGAGTCTAGCTATCATGGACCTGCGAGGGTTTTGGAACTGGACAGAAGGAGCCTGAGCAGTTCACCTCAGCTAAAATCACATGCTGGAAAGCTGCGGGCTTCTGAATCTCCTACTACCATTCTTTTCTACAAGGACGGTAAAAGGAAAGGGACACCCAAATCCTTTAGCCGGAGCGTGTCGAGAGTGGAGTCTTTTGAGGATCGGTCTCGACCACCCTTCATGCCACTCCCCTTAACTAAGCCTAGGTCTATTTCATTTCCCAATGCTGATACTTCTGACTATGAGAACATTCCCGCTATGAACTCAGATTACGAAAATATACAGATTCCTCCCCGAAGACCCACCAGGGCAGGAACTTTTACTGAATTTTTCGAAGATCCCAGCAGGGCATTATCTGCTGCTAATGAAAATGACGGCTATGTGGATATGAGCAGCTTCACAGGCTTTGAGAACAAGCAGCAAACCACAGACCAGGAAACAGAAAGGTACTGTAATAAATTCTTATGTAAGACCCGCTAATCTTGACCAAATAGGCAAGACTTCCTGTTAGATGTCGTAGGCAGATCTTCCATTTTGTTGGCTTATCCCCTTTTACTCAGGAAGTGGTTTTAGCAGAGAAACTGGAGGAATACAAGATAAGCCATTATCAGTGAAAAGACTCTAAATGAATATGTATTGAAACTCTATTTTGTAAACACCTATTAAGAAGTGGAGTGGAATTGGATCTTCTAAGTAGAAGATATAAATTGAACAATGTTCCTTCAAAAGGACTGTTTTACTTTAGTGGATCTTTTCTTTGTCTTTCTTTTTAATGAATAATGTTTCTGTGCTCTTTTTTAAATACAATTTACTACAGATCCAATCTGCCTTACTGGGTCCTAGAATCTCCACTTTCATTTCATTGTGCTTGTCAATTTCCCCAGGCAACGATGTATTCTTAATTTACCTTTCAAAGTACAGCAATTAAATACAAACTAAAGTTCCCAAGCATACCATGAACTAATCTGACTAGTCTATTAATTTTCAAAGTTGCTGTAAAGCCTTTCATAATGAATCCTTGACAGAGCTTCTGACTTCTGAATTAATTATATAAATAGTTTTGTCTGGCACTGCATGCGTGGCTAACATCAATAATGCAGTTTTCATCTCTCTCTACTCTATTAGGTCATTTGCAAAAAAGAAAATGTACACTTCCAAGGTCTCTTCGTAGTAACACTGGTGTGACCAACATCTTTACACTATTATTTCCTCATAACCTCCCTACAATCATTTTATAACCTGGTATCATTTTATAACTTGGGGTGTACAAGTGTACACAAAAGGAAGATATCCCATTGACTATATAGAATACATAGCAGGGGAAAGCAGATGAAAATCCAGGAGATGTCATTAACAAAGTCTGGGGTGAATTTCTAGAGTGGTGTGAAATAGATTAAAAGCTTCCAACCAAGCTTTTCATGTCCTTGTTGTTCTTTCCCTCTGAGTATTTCATATTTTGCTTTTTCATGACATGTTATCAGCCATCTCTTCCTTGTATCTGCATTTCACCTTTGATAGTGAGCATTTCATACAACTCTCATTGGTTCTTGCCGACTCAGTAAAGGAAAGAGTATTCATTCATTGCACCTGAAGTAGGCAGTTCCCCAGACTCTGATATAGTAAAAAAAGAATGGGTGTGCACTGGTTTGTCTTTCTAAGGATGCTGATGGGTGTAAGTGATAATTGTTCAGCTCTGGATCCAAACTTCCATGAAGCTCTGTAGTCCTAGATCTAGACTTTTTGTTCAGCTCTTTGTAGGTATAGGCTAGCTGCAGAATTTGGATCCAGAATGTTAAAGTTTGACTATGGTTTGAGAACAGAGGATGGTTCAGGTTCATACCGAGTACAGAGAAGACACTTTATAAGCCGTCTAGGAAAGACCAGATTAGTAGAATCTTAATGACCACTCACTTTCCTTTCAACAGTTCAGTTTGCACTGAGAAAAACTGATGTTTGCTTATGAAAACCTGGCCATTTGTTTGTGTCGGTGACAAGCCACCCATTTCAGGTTGTTTTTTAAAAGTTAAAAATATTAAACTACGTAAATTGCTGTGACTTAGACACATTTATGAACTTCCTGTGGAAGCATGGTGTTTCTAGGGGAAAGCCAATCAAAACTGCTTCAGGAAGTCTCAAGGTTAAAGCTTGTACATGATTTCAGGTTGCCGCTTGTTATGCATGCAGTTTCTTCTGGTAGGGAAGAAATGAAGATTGGACCTTCCTGAATAGCACTTATTAGTCTAAAACTGTTTCAGGAGCAGAGACGTGTTTGTTGGTAGTAAGCTGCTGTTTATTATTTACTGAGCTTCATCGGTGTGCTTAGTACTGCACCACACAGAAAAAGATCCTGCTTAAGTTAAAAAATGGGTAACAATGCAGTTCAATTATATAATATGAGGATTAGAAGTGCGGGTCATATAAAAATAACATCATTATATATAATGCCTAAGCAGACGTGTGTGAGTAAGTATGCATGTACATCTAAATATAGACATCTGCAACTAGTATACTCATTGTTAATATAGTGCTTTTTAAAGGGGGACTTCAATGGATTCAGAACTTCAAGATACGGACTCATGTCACAAATGACCCTACAACAGCATCTTGTAATGCTGTTAACAAATTCCTGATTCACTTGTGTCATAAAGCTTTTTTCAGCCATCTGAGATCATGAATGCTATGACTTATCCCCTTGTAAACACATGTGGCTTGAATATAGGCACTTTCTATCTTCACTATACTCATTTAGATGGTATTGGTATTTAGCATGTGCCTGTAGAGTCCTAAAATCAAATGCATTTGATGTATTAACCAGCACAAATCTTTCATCAAGTTTCAATGAACAGAATTTGAAAATGCTATAAAATAATAATAATCCAGAAACCACCGCATTCCTAATGCCTGCGATCGAGGGGGGATGGGAATTTATTGAAATTGACAGATGAGAAGATTCACTTTTTAATTTTCTTGCTTAAGAGAAAGACCATGTGGAGTAGATTTAAAACCAATATTTTTTAATTAGAAGCAATCCAATTTATAGAAAGAGTCCAATAATGAAAGTATGCTCGAAATCCGTCTTATGTTACAATTACAGTTGCCAGGAGAAGAGAGGGAATATTGCCCCCTTAAGGGCAGTTATCTTAGATCCCCAAAATTTAGCTGTGTGGGTATTAATAATTAAAATCTGATACAACCATATGTATTGTCATTAGTACTCTATAGTGAAAAATATAGTTATCTGTAAGTGGAGTGAGAGACTCGAAGCCTCAAAAGGCCCTGGTCATGAGACTTCCCTGCTCTGTGCAGCTTAGAAACATAAAACTCAAACTTCATTGTCTAGTGCTTTTTCAAACTTTTGTTGTCTAGTGGTTTTTCATTTGTGGACATGCCTTTGAAACTGCAAATTGAGGTAAACTGATTGCTCAGGCCAAAAATACAGTCTGATAACACCTTCTTGTCCCTGGTCTGTAGTACATCCTTAGGTAGCATGAATCAAGGCAGTTCCACTGAGGCTCATGGAGCTACGTCCATTCACAGCTACCTAAAGATCCAGCTGTTTGGAAACATGACCTGCATTTGCAGTGCACTTTAAAGACCCATTTCACTGCGTGCCTCAGAGCCCTTCATTAAGCCATGCTCAGTGTGCTGTGATAATGGTTCAAAAGGAAACTTCCATCTTGGAGAGGGGAAAGTGGTGCAGCAAACACTCATTTCCTAGGCTGTGATTAGTCATACTGCCACTACCTTCCAGAGAAACACCGTGGTGTATTTCTGTAGCAATGTCACAAAGATGGTGACGTTGAGAGTCTTGAATAGTCCTCATAGCTTTTCTGTTATCAGAGTGTATCACCTGGCATAGGCCCCAGTGGTTCCCTCCACTACTAGTTTTGAAAAAAATGAGGTAAGCAAAAGGAAGCCATCTGCTTCACAGTGTGGTCCCACCTTCAGGGTTCAGGTTCCCACAGAAGGGGGACTGCCATCTCCTTAGGTGCCATCCTTAGGTGCTATCTGCCCATAAACTTTAAAGGATCCCACATGCAATGAACCTTTGTCAGGTGACTGGCCATCCAGAGGCATCATGTGCAACTTGATTCCTGAGAATTGTTGTTTTGCTTGGTAGCAATATGGAGCCCCTGAGCCTCAATGGAGATGTTCCAGGGATCTTAATATTTCCCGGTAGATCTCAAAATACATGGAGAGTTCAGAAGACCAAATATTGTTCCATTGATGGGACAGTTTGGATTAAGACCGTCTTCCTTTCTAACTTACGGAAGTGAGTCGGGTCCGCTTGCTTACCTGGTAGCATATTAAATATCTTAAATATGAATCACTCACCCCAAAAGTAACTCAGCTTACCCAAAAAGTAAGAACAACCCACACATTTTAGCCTGGGTGTAAATCCATATATCGGCCTTAAGGTGAATGCCAGTGCCTCAGGGTGGCTTGGGGAATTTTCTGAGTGCTTAGATTGGATAAGACTTAATTTTGCAAAGCACCTACAGCCCACATGCTGCCACTGTGCACTAAGAAATTTCTCATGGATTTTTCCCAGGAATACGGACAGCACACACTTGTTATGCTGTATTCTTTTGTCTTTTTAATCTCATAGGCGAGAAGTAGGGCTGGAAGGGACCTCAAGAGATCATCTAGCCCAACCAGGGATTGATCATACATGCTGTACACACAAAAGACACCAGGGCTCTGTCAGCTCATTTGGTCCAAGATCAAAGTTGGTTTGTTTGGTTTTTTAAGTGCTAGATAATAGCATTATATACTAGATAGAGTTGCAATGGTGTATGCAGCATATAAATTACATTTTTTTAAAGATTAAATAAAAATAGGAATTTTTGGTTTTAACAGCTAAAAAGAACTTGCCGTTATTGAATTCTTCACCATTAATTCATTTCCAAAGGAGATCTTTTTTCCTTCAAACGGCAGCATGCACAAAATTGATTGCCTTAGAGTGGGAAACCCATTAGCAATAAGAACAGGTGTATGCTGGACAATGGAAGGTCAAGTTTCCCCCTCTTCTCTGCACCTAGGGAACAGTGACCAATGGGATAAGAAGGTACTGTAATCTCCAAGGAGCGTGTCTACATGTTCATTAATGCTCCTTAGATACTGCACATTTAGTTTACTACTTCCTTAATAAAGGACTAACTAAATGCGCAGCTCTAAAGTTACTGCGCATTAGCACCAGTGCATGGTGAATTAGTGACACTTACTGTGTATTAGCCTAGTAACACTGCGCAGTAGGCTATTAGCACAGTTTGTGCTGTGATGCTCTACTACACAGTGTTATTAGGCCAATGCGCAGTAAGTGTCTTGTGTAGACACGCCCAAGGTGTATGTATTTATTCCTCTGACTGCAGTCTATCAGAGTTACTACCCACTAGCTACCCTTAAGGTGCTGGTTTTGTGGTGCAGACACTTGCTATTATGCAAT